GTCTGCTGCTTGATCGGGGCGCCCGTCTGCATGAACTCGTCCGTCTCCCACGTCTTCCACTTGACGCACTCCTCAATCCTCTTGCGCGCGTCGACCCACCTTGGGTCAGACTCTTTTGCCCCAATCAGGAAGTCGCCCACGTGCCAGCCGGCAATGACCGCGATGTCAAGATCGCCCTTCGCCGCGATCAGCATGTCCAGCTTCTCGGAGCCCACGACGCCCCCCAGTGCCTCCTTGGCGAAGCTATTGCCCATGCCACTGGCATCTCCGCGCAACACCCAGACGCGCGGATCCATCTTCATCTGGGCCCAGCCAAACTCCTCAAGCACCTCGCTGGCTGTCATGAACCACTCCATGGCAGCCCCCACGAGCCAGTAGACGGCCTTCCGCAGCCACATCGCGGCGCCGTCGGACACCCCAAGAGCGGCGGCGAGCTCCCCGACTGGCATCACGAAGAGGTCGCGCTGGATCTCCCGATTCTGCGCGAAGGCCCCGGTCACGTCTGAATCCAAGCCAGAACATCACCTGCAGCACCAGGTGTCGAGACGTCCACGTCACGGTGGGCACTGTAGTCGGGCGGCGTTCGTACTCCGGGTGCAGACCACGATCCTGGCCCATGGCTTCTTTTCGCCTGCGGCCTCGTCGATCTTCCACTCCAGGATCCACCACGCTCGCATGACGTCCTCCGGCGGTGGAGCGACCCCTGGTGGCAGAGATTCCAGCACGGAGGCGATCACACAGTTGTTCGCCTCGGTGGCCTTCGCAACGCTGAATTTCGACACCTCGTCTGGGGCGAGTCCGCGCTGAGATCCCTCGCTTGCCCTCCCGCAGCTGGCCCGCCACGCGGGCGCCCACGCGCCTCGTGGCCCGCTTCGAGGCCTCACCTGCGAGCGGCATCTCCACCGACACCTCCAGCGACGTTCCCCGCCTTGCCCAGAAAGCCCAGGCATCTGGGGAGGCCTTGGTCATGAGCGCGGCCCTCTCCGTCATGGTCGCCTCAGCTGCACTCTCGCCGCCTTCACCCCGCCCGAGGCGCCGCCTGGGTGCCCCCCCTTCTTCCGGATCGACTTCCGCGCTGGCTGCGTAGGCGAGCCCCTCGGCGACTCGCTCTGCGGCCCCCCATGGCTTGCCATCTTCTATGGTGGAGCTGACTCTGGCAACCCTTCTCGGGAAGCCAGCTCCTCGTCAGGGTCGGTGGGGTCGTGGCCTGAGAAGTCCAGGTGATCCTGTCTCATCGCCTGGTTCACGAGGGCGCGCACGGTCCACGGGGCGTCTTTGCTTGCAGCCCATGAGCCCCGCGCGGGCAATCTCACATGCCGACTCTGCCGGGATCTGGCACAGGTCCGCCTCGATGACGCGGCCGGCCCGGGCGAGCCAGACCACGGGGCCAGCCCGTCCTGGATGCAAGCAAGGTCTGGTTATCCCCGAGGTCGCCGTCCACCGGGCGGCTGGTCTCCGCGGCGAGCACCCGCGCGAGGCCCTTGAACCGGCGTTTGGCCTCGCCCTTCTCCTTGCGGAAGTAGCGCGCCCACGCGCCTGTGGCCACGGCCTGTGGCGCCTGGTTATTCGCGTTCTCTGCCCGGCTGATCCGTCGCATGTAGACCTGCCTCAGCTACTCCTGCTCTGCCGCATGCATCTTCGCGCAGTTATCGCCGCACTCCTTGTCAACCCGCCGGGCCCCCACGCAAGGGAGCTCGCCGAAGTCGCTCTCAGAGAAGTGGCCGTCGAGGTCTGGCGCCCTTCCCAGTGCACGCTGTAGCGGGGAGTGGCCGCGGACGTCATCCCGGGAATTCGCAGCGGCAGTAGCCCGAGCCAGAGCCCCCTCGGCGGACATCTCCGGGTGGACCGCCACGAGCTTGTCCATCGCACCCTTCGTGGCCGGGATGGCCTCCTCCGCGAGGGAGATGCGCCGGTGGGATTGCCCCGGGATCGGCTCGTACCCGATGGAGTCGGCGTCGAAGCACTCCGCGGCCTGCTTGGCCATCCACGAGCCCTCCGGGCCCACCTTGGCTCTTTGGGGCTTCCCGAAGCACGGCGACCACCGCTCCTCGCAAAAGCACTTCAGGTCGGCCCACGCTGGTTTCCGACGTCGGTCCTCGCCCACCATGTTGTAGAATAACTTGCTGGCCCTCACCCGGCAGTTCTCCCCCATGATCTGTGAGAACTTGGACTCGATGTTATTCCGAGGGTGCCCCCACTCAAACTGGTCGGCCTGGATGCGCTTCCACCTCGGGGGCAGGGCCTCGAGGCTGACTGGCGGGCGCGTCGGGCGATGGTGGTTCGCCTCGGCACAGGCGTCGCACTGGAAATCATCCGCCACTTGCAGCACCCGAGGGCTCACCCCGCTCCTCCTGAGCGCGCTCACCGTGGGGGCCTTCGGACTGCGGCCTGATCCCCGATGCGCCGAGGTGCGCCATCGCATAATATACTGGTGCTCCTTGGAGCTCGGGTCCGCATCCGTGGAGGTCTTTTCCTTGCCAGCGGCCAAGGCCTGCCCCTCGCGCAACTCGGCCACGGCCATGCCCCTCATGAGCTCACGGTAATCTGGCGAGCTCTCACCGATCATGGCTCGCACCGCTCTCTTCGCAAACTCGTCCGCGCAGTAGCTGGCGGACGCGGTGAGTCCGCCTCCTGCAAGCTCGCCGCGCCGATGGCATCCTGGACACTCCACGGCCACCCTCGCCGCCATCTTCGGGGACCTCAAAAGAGGGTCTCCCTTCTCGTTCTTCACCCCGAGCTGGCACCCAGCTACCTCGGCCACGGTCATCGCGCAGCCCTCCACCATTTGCCCAATCATGGCGCGGCCCAGTCCCTGGCACTCAATGAGCAATTCCCAGTGCGCGTGCTTGCCCTGTGCCACCTGATCGCACACTAGCTGCACCTCACCATTATACTCATCGATCGCCTGGAGTCGGCGCTTCCTTGCGGCCTCAGCCCTCACCGGGTTGGAGCCATTGAAGTCGAGGGTGAGCGTCGACAGCGGTCCACACCTCGTGCTGATCCAGAGGTGGCCCGGTTCCGACTCGTCGCGCGTCTCCCTGGCCTTCTGGCTCCCCGCTGGGGCCCCTAGTTTGCGCCCTTTCCCGGAGCCGGCGCGCCGGACTGCGTTTCTGCCAAACTGCTCGGCCATCTTCGCGCTCAGGATGGAGGCAGGGACTGCAGGCGACATCCATGAACTTGGCCCCTCCTTGGGCGAGCAGTGACTCAAGGTCCCTTGTGCGGTCGTTTTCCCTGATGCACTTCGCGAGCCAGCGCTGCTCCCTCGGGTCCAACTATTTCGTGTAGTTCAGACCCTGTCCAGACCATCCTGACTGGAACCCACTAGAAGGAAGCTCCCGTCGGCTGCGCTCGGTGCTCTTGGCTACCCCTCGAATCTCTCTAGCCGCTGGCTGAGCTGGCCCAGCGCTGACATCATCTCCTCCTGGACACGTCGGTTGGCCCGCTTCTCCGCTAGGTCCGCCCCCCCGCAGGGCCGTCCGCCATCAGAGCGCCCACTGCCCTTCGGCGAGATGACTTCGCGCCCCCTCGAGCCTTGGCCGGCCCCGCTGGGACATTCGCGTAGCCCCTGGAAATCTGCGTCTCCGGTTGGACAACCCCCGCCACTGTGAGCCACGAGACGAACCCGGCGAGCTCCCAGCTGCCCTCGGCGTTCGCCTCCTTCTTGGCCCACTCCGCGTGGGGCGGGTACTGGTTCAGGACCTGCCGGTACGTCAGGGCGCCGTGCTTCCCGAACCCCACGTAGTCGGTCGGCTCTGTCGCGGTCTTCCGGCGGACTGCCTCGCGGATCGCCAGCTTGAGCGACGCACTCGTCATGTTCGGCGCGACGTGGGCCCCGACCTCGGTCGCCTCCTCGATTAGCTCGGCCTTCCCCATAGAGCTGATGCCCCCCACCGCCCCCCGCGCCTCGGTCTCGTTCCGCGAAGACAGGTCATCCTTGATGATCTGCTTCAGCTCGTCCGAGCTCCAGGCAAGGCTGCAGATCACCTTCACTGCCTTCGCCTCGAGGAGCCCGTGCACCCCACTGCGCAATGTTGGCATTGCCCTTGCCCGAGTCGCACTGGCGCGCGGTCTGGGCGCAGGCGAGCTGCATGGCCCCTCGGAGGAAGCCGCCGCAGCGCATCTCTCTGCCATCGACCGGCGACTGCTGGGAATATGAGCGATATGGAAGGTCTGGCGGCGCCGGTAGCTCCACAGTGTCGATCAACCCATATGCTGGAGATCGCGCTGGGCTCGAGCCACAACGGCCATGGGCGCGTCCGCGAGCCCCGCCAGGACCTGGTGACCACTCCGTCTGACCCGTCGATTCTGGCTCGGCCGAAAGTAAGCCGATGGTAGTGATTGCGAGACAAGGGGAAGGGGGTGGACTCAGTTATTCCCCATCTCGCACCACGCGCCCATCCGGGCACTTCTCTGAGTCCTGGCTCGCAGCTGCATACCTGCCAGCCCCACTCAGGGATGTGACGGCCGTTCTCGATGAAGTTCTGCAGCTCGGTCGGGCCCTGGACCCACTGCTCGAGGAGGTCGCCCACCAGGCTCATGTAGTAGTGGCCACTGTCTGGCGACTCCTCGAGTTGGACCGGGGCGCCCGGGGCCAGCTCCACGAACACTGCGACGCCTGCGTCGCAATCCACGATGGCCCCCAGTTTCTTCAGCACCTGCTTGGACACGAGGATCGGGGCATCCTTCGCGAAGCCGTCGATGGCGATGTCTCCCTGCACGCCCGCGCCCGCGATCCCGAACTTCACCTGGCCGCAGGCGCGCCCCTTCTCGCCATTCCCGATGCTGCACACCAGGCGGTAGTTGTGGTTCACCTCCTGGAGTCTCGCCTCCCCGTACTTCTCCATGTTTTTGCGGGCAACGATGTCGAGCGCGCGCGCACCTCCCATGGCGCCCGCGCAACCCAGGTCGGCGATCCCCTTGCCCTCACGGATGGCCTGCTCTGCAAACATCGCCTCGCACGGCGAGCCCCCAGACCCTTGCTCGGCGGCCATCGCGGCCACGAGATTGAACTTCAGCTCCTTCCTGCAGGTGGCCACCCTCGCGCTCGCGTCTGGCGCGCTTGTCGGGCCACCTCTGAGACGTGGGCCATGGCGGTCGGGACAGTCCTGCAGCCAATGAGCTCCACCGCACTTCGTGCACTTCTTCTGGCCCGTGTTTGGCGGCTCGAGCTGGCCCCTGCCTCCGAACTGGGTGCCCATCGGCCGGCGCGACCCCGCTGGGAATCCTCCGCCAGATCCTCGGCCACCTCTCTTGGCAGGGTTGGCTGGTCGCCCTCCACGGTAGAAGCCTCGGCTCAGGTGGCTGTCTGCCTGTGCCTCGCGAGCCTGGCGGAGAGTCCGCCGGGCGCTGTGGATCGCGGCCAGCGCCTCCGCCTCCTCGTGATGGGCCGCCAAGTACGTCTCGATGTCGTCCTCGTTGGCCTCCGCCTGATCCAGGTCCTCATCGTACATCCCTGGAGGCCCTTGCCCTGCCACGAAGCTGCCCGCGTCCATGTTATCCTCCTCGCCGTCCTCCCCCGCGCGGTCATCCTCACCGAGCTGGGCTGCATACGCCTTCGGGTACTTGCCCTGTCCATCACGCTCTGCTAAGTCATCGTCCTCCCAGCTTGATGCCAGCTTCTCGCGCATGATGCTGACATCGAGCGACCCTGAGGTCGCAGTAAGGATTGCCGATCTCTGGCGGGAGTCGAGGCCAGAGCGCGCGAGCATCACCCAGCCGAGGACGAGCCCTGGAAAGACCTCTGGCACTTCGGCCACCTCCTCCTCCGCCTCAGCATCAGGAGCTGCAGCACTCCAGTGGTGAGAGTCCTCGGTCTCATCGTCTCCTCGGCCGTCAGTATACCCCCACGTCCATTCTGAATCAAGCGGCCAGTCCTTCTCGATCCATCTCCATGGCCTGGACGTCTGCTGGACAGCCGACATCAGGGACCGCTTGGCGCGAGCACCTGCGCTCGAGCCACGCTAGGAGCCTCTTGACCCCGCTTGCCCGGGAGAGCCAGCCGGGCTTGCAGCGCTTGACCGCGACCTCGGCCCTGCTCGTGAGACGTGCCTCGAGCCTCGCGCCGCACAGGTACCTGTCCTCACGTTTGGTGCCCTCCTGGTACTGGAGAGCCTTCCGCCTGTATGTGTGCCAGGTCTTAGGGTCTCCGTCCCAGCCTGGCACCTTCTCCTGATGATCGTCACTCGACTTCATGGCAGGGTTCCGTGTCCACCACGTGCTCCTCTTACCGTGCAAGTATAAATGGATATAGCGCGGTTGTGTACTTTATCTCTCCACCCAGCGATCTGCGTCAGATCGGGCTCCTCTCCAGGAACCTCTGGTCAAAAACGTGTACCCCTGAGAACAACCGAGGGGCGATCACCCGAGAAAAAAAAAACAACAACAAAAAACAAACAACAAAACAAAAACACACTTGTGTTTAAATGTTTTGGTAAAAACATGGAAATAATAATTAATGAATAAATAAATAAATACATAATGTTTTATTTTTTTGTAAAAAAAAAAGAAAAAAAAACAACGACGACAACGACAACAACAGCAGCAGCAACAGCAACATCAACAGCAACAACAACAACAACAACAACAACAACAACAACAACAACAACAACAACAACAACAACAGCAACAGCAACAACAACAACAACAACAGCAAAAAAAACATCCACAGCGTACACGCACGCTCACCTCACACGAAATGCTCGAAATGCTCCGGCTTGTCACTAAGGAATTCTGCACAATGGGCCCCAAGATGCGCCTTAGGTTGTTAAGCGATGTTGCCGTTCTCGCCTTTTCGGCTTCCCGACGCTTCAAGACGGCCCACGAGGCCCCCAAAATCGCCCCAAGACGGCCCAAGAGGGCCCCAAAACGGCCCATCAGGCGCCCAAGACGCCCCAAGAGGGCCCAAAATCAACCCCAAGAGGGAGCCCAGATGGGGAACCCAAACGGACATTGCGAGCCCTCGGCCCCCAGGGGCCCTCAGGAGGCCCCAGGAGGCCCCCAAGAGGCCCCCAAGGAGCCCCCAAGAGGCCCCAAGAAGCCTCCAAGAGGCCTCAAAAGGCCCCTAAGAGGCTCCCAAGAGGTTCCCAAAAGGCCCCAAATTGCTCCCAAGAGGCTCCCGAGAGCGTTCCGAAGAGACCTGACAAAGCATCCCTGAGAACTATGACCCGCAACCCAGGCACGGTGGCGGCATGGGCCGACGGCCAATAGATACTCCCTCCTCCGACTCCCCCTCGACCAGGGCCTGCGCCTCCAGGATCAGCGCGTCTATCGCCTGGCTCTCGGGCTCGGACTGGGGCGACGACCCCACGTAGATGTCGGAGCACGGGTTCAAAGAAGTGGACGACGCGCCGTTCCAGTCGGAGTCCCAGTTGCGGTTGAGGTCGACGCCTCGGGGGATCGCAGGGTTTGATCTGCTGCAGCCATGGAGCGAAAATAACAGCTAGCGTGCTGAGGGGGAGGACGAGTAGGGGGGAGGAGGAGAAGGGGGAGGTGGAGGAGAAG